CCCTGCCACTGATCAGGGTCCTCCCGTGAGCAGACGCTCTCTCTCCATGCTTTGCGTAAATGTTCCTAACAGTGGGCCTCCACGTGGGTGGTGTTATGTCCATTTGACAAGTGGCCCCGGAGGCCAGTGGCTTGCAGGCTGCCTACCCAGGTACAGCCAGAGGCTGAGCTGGGATCCAGATTTGACCTGTGGATCTCTGAAGTCCACCCTCCCCGTGGTCCTGGGTAGGCCTCTCCTTTTTCTTTTGTTGTAGGATAAAACCCGGGGAAACCAAGAGGAAGGTGTTGGGGTCTGTTGACGTCTCCTGGGAAGCTCTGTGAGGCACAGGGAGCTCCGCCTTACTGCCAGCCACGTCTAGCTCCCGTGTACACGGGGCTGAGCCCCTTGTCTAGACCAGGCTCTGCAGACTTGAACACGTGTCCACATCACCTGCACCTTGGGTCCGAGTGTAGATCCCCCTCAGTAGGTCTGGCGCGGGTGGACGCTGCGCTCCTAAGCGGCTCCTGGGTGATGCTGAGGTGCCCGGGGGACGACACCTTGTGCAGAGAGGATCTGAACGAGCCCTAGGTGAGCGGCTTCTGTGGATGCTGTGGCGGTGCAGGAAGCAGGTCTAAGGCACAGGTGTTCCCTGCACCCGAGACCCTGCCCACCCACATCTGTGACGTACAGCAGCATTTCTATTGGTGGTGAGAATGTGTGAAAGCCCGACCTGACGACCTTGGGCCGTGAGATCTGGTGCAGGGCTGTGGACTCCGTGAGGAGTTCCTGTCCAGCTCTGCCACAGTGGACAGGCTCCTTCCACTGAGGCCTTGGCTTTCTCCACTCCATAATGGGGAACGTGAACCCCGCGTACCTCACTGGGAGGACTGAACAGGTTCACCCAGACAAAGCCCAGGTGCACCCAGGCTCTCAGCGCGTGTTGTTGGCCCTGACCTCAGCGGACTTTGTAGCTCATCTCATGCCCCAGCTCCTTGCAGGCTGGAGGGCCATGTGCTAGGCAGGGTCTGCTGGAGTCTGACACCAGGTGCCTGACCACAGACGAGAAGTCAAGGCCCAGAGCCCTCACCAGAGATTCTGTCCTTGCTGACAGGGTGAGGGGCAGAGGAGCCGGCTGTGCCCTCCCTCTCCGCTCTACTAGATGATCTCTTTTCCCTACCTACCTGTGGCAATTTCCCCAGTGACTTTTGGCACCAAAACAGAGAATGTTAAGTCTTAGGATATTGGTTTAAGTGCTGCTTTGAGACAAGGTCATTAGTAGTAGTTTGTTCAGTCAGATCTTAGTTCAGTGCTTGGTGCCAGAGGTCCAGGGTTGCACGAAGACCTCACTGTCTACTATCAGGTGTTGAGCAGATGGATGTGGTGGCCGTCGGGTGTCTGACCCGGGTGTGAGGAGCTGAGATGCCTGGGACTCCACTCAAGGGCTTTCTGATGGCCTGCATCCCATGCACTGGAGCAGGAGGGCAAGTGCTAGGGGCTCTGATGTGGTCTGGACCCAGGCAGGGGCAGTGAGGGGGGGGGAGAAGTTGGCGGGTCCTGGAAGGGAGCGGGGTCCCTCTATTTCCCAGATTATGAATTGGTGCCTGGCACGTCATAATCCCCGCCTTTTTCTCAGTACAGAAGACACCATGCGTCACCATGCGTCAGCCTAGACTATTCCAGCCAGCTGCGGGGTTTTGAGGCAGCAACTTCCCCTTTTATAGAGCTTCTGATTCCTCAAATGGCAGTGGGAGTGTGCATTGGGGTCAGTGGGATCCCTAGCTGTTCCTGCCTCGCCATCTGGGGACTCCCGACCACAGTATTAGCAGAAGGAGATTTTAAGCTTCGAGTAAGCAGCAGAAGCAGAAGGGTCAATGATAGGGAAGAATCTCCCATCCTTGAAGCATCTGAGCCCCTTTCATAGGGTAGTGGAGTCACAATCACCCTGTTATAGTGGCAGAGGCCATATGGATCAGGAACGCCTTAGGACACAGCCACAAAGCAGACTTGGTCTCTGGGACAGGCCCAGCCAGGGAAGCAGAGAGATGGCTCACCTGCTGGCGCTGCGGACACACGATAGGTCAAGTGTCCGGTTCCGGGGACACTGACTGGACACACAACTCAACTTTCAATGGCTTGATGTCTCCAGAAATTAGCACTGAAGTATGAGTATCTAGAAAGCAAACCTCCTGGATTTGCAAGTCAGGAAACAGGACCAGAGGCCAGCTGGCGGGCTTGGAGTCTCGTGGCTGGCTACCTGGAAGTCCCAAAGCCTGAAGGGGTCTGTGCAGGGACAGTTTCCTCAGGAGGATCCCTGGAGTGGTGGCACAAGGCAGTTGCTGATGCTGTCAAGCAGACTCGTGGCCAGGAGCTGGGGTGCCCTGGATGACCGCAGGTGCTTCCTGAAGGGGCCTCCGCGGACAGGGGCCTCAGTGGCTCTTCTCTGAAGTCTCCTAGCATTTCCACGGGGCAGTTCACGCTGAGGAGTGTCCCCTCTCAGTCCTCAAGTCTTTGGGACTCAGGGAGAAGACTGATTCTTCCCCTTCAGGAACTAGGAACCCGTTCTCAAGGTCGGTTGGTTTTTAAAGAATTGATGACTGTCCACATTTTCTCCTGGGGTCCTCTGAGCTACTTTTTTCCTTTAAAATGACTCCAGCATCACAAGACAGGTTGAATCTACCATCTTGTTTGAGCAGCCAGACTTTTATCAAATTAGAATATTGAACGAGGACAGGAAGGGGGAAGAGATTTTCATTGTTTTATTTTTAGAAACATGATACTTACGTGAATCACGTGACCAGTTTTGACAAAAGCCTCTTTAGGTTTAAAAGTGCATTTGCAATTAAAACTATATAAAAATAGCACATAAATTCACATACTTTTTTTTTCACTTCCTTTTAAAACAGGGAATAACCTGGGGATTTTTTTTTGTGTTTTCTGGCAGAAACTTCAGGTTTTTCAAGGAGGTCAGAGAGTGAAGGTCAAGATTGATGACTTCTGGGGACAGGTTAAAGGGAGCTACATCGAGCTGGGCTTCTCCCGTGTGGGAAGCTCTGGAGACGCTGAACGGGTGTGAATGGGCATCGAGAGGCTGGACACAGGTCCTTCTGCCACCTGTGCCCTGTGGCACCCTTATGGTTCCTCTGGGGGCTGAAGGATCTCTCCTTCGGTGCTCTCTCCCTCCTCAGGGTCTCTGTTCAGAGCTGTACCCGTTGGGGCACTGCTGACCCTCAGTCCCAATTTCCACCATTCCATGTGACCAGGAGGGGAGCCGTGGACACACGGATGCTGTGGCCTGCTGGCTTTCACTCGCCCTGCTGCCGGGGCCCAGGTGGGTGCTGGACGCCATCTGGGAGCAACCCTGCGGGGGTCAGCGTCCACTGCTCCAGGGTCCTCTGAGATTGAGATGTGCCTCTCCTGGTAATCACGGCTGTGGCTGTATCCTACGGACCTGGACCTGTGGCCCATAACCGCAACTAGCAGCCTGCAGTCACCACAGCGCTCCCCTCCCGCCAGATCCCTAGGCTGCCTGAGACTCAATGCAGCAGTACAGTTGGAAAACAGCTCCAAGCCACGTTCCTGCCTGGTGCCGTCCCGATGACCCCAGGCCACTGAGGTAGGTAGTTGGAAGTCCCTGTGTAGCATTCGGGACTCTTTTGAATTCTTTAGAGAGTTCAGGGCTGGACTGAGGGAGTGTGACCGTCACTGTTGGCATCAGCCTGGCCCTGGGCATCAGCCCAGCCTCTTCCTCTGACTCTGGACACCGAGAGCCCTACTCTTCTTGCATGAGAGCCGGCAGTCAGAAAATGAAGTCCTGAGGAGACCCGCAGCACCATGTTGGCCCATAGCACACAGAGATGTAGGTTGGACCTGCACCATGACCTTGAGACATGGCTGCTTCCTCCCATGGAAACAGGGACACTCCAATCCTAGAGGTGGTAGTGAAGCTTCTGGCACCTGCACACAGTAGGAGCTCAATAAACACCTATTGCTCAACCAGGAAAATGAAGCACAACATTCATTTTTGAAAAATATTTATTAAAAAACTAAAATGAATGTGGCAAAAAAAAAAAAACCCAAAACAAAACAACCATACAACCAACACATACCTATAAATAGCAAGCATAAGACCCGGTGGTAGCACTTTCCAACCGCAGACCTAGTCTTTCAACCAGCTAGTCTAGGAAGGAGGCAGAGAGAAGCTGTGTGCGTATGTGTGTGTGTGTGTGTGTGTGTGAGAGAGTGAGAGAGAGAGAGAGAGAGAGAGAGAGAGAAGGGGAGGGGGAGGGAGGGTCATTTGCACTAGTGGTGAGCAGAAAGTGAGAACTACCAACGGCAATGACCTGCTTTCCTCCAGGATGCCCAACCTGGGGTCAGGAGGGGACTCCTGTGGCCTGTCCTGGCTTTAATTGGCGGTGGGGGCTGAAACAGTAAAAAGACAGGCAGCATCAGGAGAGGGCAATCTTAAAGCACCTTTAAAATATGGACCCTTCTGTGATTCGAGCCAGTAATTCTCAAACTTAATTGTTGAAAAGAACCACCCGGGGAGACTGAGAGCTCAGGGACCTCCAAACCTGCATTTCTAGGACAGTCCTCCCAGGGATCCCGGGATTCCACCTAGACTGGTCAGTCCTCCCAGGGATCCTGGGATTCCACCTAGATTGGTCAGTCCTCCGGGTTGAGAGATGCTGTTGAAAATGTGAAAATGCATTAAGACATTTCCTGTCCCCTAAAAGCACAAGGGGTCTGCTGACCATCCCCCAGCATGGGGGACCAATGCAGGGAGGCAGGCGGGAGGGAGCTGCCCATCCTAACCCAGCCTCCAGGGCCCTGAGCAACCTGTCAAGTGTTCAGGAAGTAAGTACAATTTAACAAGAGAGTTGGTTTTAGGGGGCAGGACAGCCTCCGGTGGCCACCAGGCAGCCCGTTCACCCAGTGGGATGAGCTGGCCGGGCCCAGTGGGAAGGCGCAGCTCCAAGAGAAGCGGGGTGATTGTGGGTCCTGACCTGTGAAGACACAGCGAATAAAACATCTATAAAAATTTTATTAAACATAGCGCACGCTGCCAGCGGCCTCGGCGGCTGTGGGGCTCACGGCGCTTCACGGACAGCACATCGAGATAGTCACATTGATTCCCAGGTTCCCATTATCCGCAAAGAGATGTGCGATGGCCGTGTCGAAGACCAGGCAGTCGCTGTTCACGATGGCCGCGGCCACACCGTCGTGGATGGACCGGGGCATGGCCTCCCAGGTCAGTCTGCGTCGGTTGCTGTTTAGCTCCAGCCGGTAGGCGAAGTTCTCGGCCTGCTTGCGGGTGCCAATGAGCAGCACGATGGCGAAGAACTGCTGATGGCCCTCGTACTTCTCCTGCTTCTCCAGCACCAGCATGAAGTGGTGGCCGAAGCAGGACTGCATCATCACCCAGTCCACGGCACCCGGCAGGTTGATGTCCGTGGCCAGGAAGACGATGTCCTCCCCCTGCAGGGTGGTGATGCTCTTGTGGGCGTGCATGAGGTGGGACATCACGGCTTCCAGAGACCCCTGCCACTTGCAGGAAGCTCCGGGACACGGGCAGGAGTAGGGTCGGTATTCACAGATGTCCTCGTGTTCTGGTTTCTCCGTGTGGTGCAGGGTCAGGGAGCAGCCCGTGGTGGCATACTGCAGAGATGGAGAGAAGCGCACAGGTCACCACACCTTCTTCAGCATCTGCTGGCACAACCCCCTGAGCCCTTGCCCCACTCGGGCTTCCTGCCTTGCCTGCGCTCCTGTCTCGACTGCGGGGTTGGTACGAGTGCATACAGGAGGCCACAGATTCGGTTCCCACATGTCACCAACAGTGTCAAGCATGGGGACCTTTCCTGAGCCAGGAATGTCCTGCTCCCCAGGCCCACCCTCATTCCAATGCTACTAAAAGATGAGAATGAATGTTCTTTTACTACAGTGAACACATTGAGAAGCCAACCTGGCTTTCCCTTTATTGTTTATGAATCTGTTGTTTGTTTTTATATTAAGGATTGAGCCTGGGGGTGCTTAACCACTGAGCCCCAGCCCCAGCCCTTTTATTATTTACTGAGAGACAGGGTTTCGTGACGTTGTGTAGGACCCCACTAAGGTGCTGAGGCTGGAATTGAACTTGTGATCGTCCTGCCTCAGCCTCCTGCTCTGCTGGGATCACAGGGCACCACTGCGCCAGGCTTCCCTCCACCCCCACCCCACCGGGATTGCTTTGGCCCCGGGGAGCATTGGCATTAGACTAGTTTTCACATAATGACACATTATTTCTGTGACTCCCTCTATCCCTTCCTGGCTTGAACTGGTGACTGGCAGGCGGGCGGTGCAGAAGGCTGCCCTCTGGGCACTGCAGGCCTGACCAGGCTAGGGCAGAGGAAGGCGGAGACCCTCCACACCTCGCCTTCCTATCTGCACCCTTCCCCAGGGCACTCTGTCCCTTCTCTTTGGGTGGAAAGAAAGCCCAGCTGAGCGCTCCTTGGATATCGCAGAAGACAGCTCATTGCAGGGTCCCAGCCAGGGGCCGCCCACTGCCCAGCCTGCCTGCCCAGGGCCAAGGGCCCTCGTCTCTACGAGGAGCAGGGCAGCACCCGCAACAGGCCCTGGGAGCGGGGATCGAGGAGCTGACTGTCACTGCTGTCCTGGGACCTCACAGGGTGGAACGAGAGCGACTCTTCCCTCATACTCAGGTGACATTTCCAGGAGATAAGTCACTCCATCCTAGGAAGACCTCCCTGAAGGGAATTATACTTCTGCTCCTAACCTTCCCAGGAACGACAAAGCAACTCCTAGACGCCAGAGGAGAGTCAGCCTGCAAGAGACACTGCAGAGGACTGTCCTGTTGTCACACAAGAAAGAAGAAGCCAGAGACACCCTGCAGGTGAGCCCAGGGCCTGGCCTCAGACCTTGGGGTAGAGCGCAGGTGAAGGTGAGGAGCCTGGGTGCTGCCCAGGGACACACTCATGGGGACGAGACGGCCAGCACCAAGCAGGGGCAGAGCCAGGCCATCTTCTAAGATGCCGTGTCTGATTGCTCACAGAACAGCACCCTCCTGTGTCAGCCTCTCCCTACCCTGCGTTACGAAGTGGCCCCTTACAAACTGGGAGTAAGTCAAATTCAAAGCTTTGCGGTTTGAACGCTGTCACCAGAAAACAAGGAGGTTCTGAGCCCTATCTCTGTGCAGGAGGCCAAGCTACAACCCCCCCCCCCCCCAGAGGGCAGGCGCGAAGCCCACAGTCCCACTGCTGGGTGTCCAGTCTCCTCAACCTGCAAAGAGAATTCCAGAAGACAGCCGGCTCCTTCCGCCCACCACTACCTCCCCATTACCTCACACAGATTATAGCTTTCAACAGGGACCGGCAGAAAGAACCCGCTGTTACCCGCTTTGTAGATAGGGTCTGCTTGTTCATGTTTTGGAACCATGAACTAATTTTAAAAGCCTGGATATAAATTAAAAAAAAAAAAAAACCAGAAGGAGAAACAAATTTACCCATGTATATTTACACACTGTGTTACTAACTTTGTAAAGCTCAAAAAAAACCAAAGTCCCTGTTAACTGTGTTTTTAAACCTGGGGCGCGGCTGGGAGTCCAGGGTTCTCGGATGTCCCAGTGTGAGTGGTGGGCAAGGCCCTTCTGTCCAGAGCCTGGCATGGCTGGGGTTGAAAAAGGCCCTCGGTATTTGGATGCAAAGACGTGTCAGCATGGGCTGTTGATCACAGATGCCCAGGAATAACCCAGGAGTGAGAGGAACTCTGCCGGGGGCACCCAGAAATTCCCCCAGGCCTCTCCCACTCCACGTTAGGGTCTCACCATTCACCACAGATATTGACCCCTGGTGATGGTTTCCCCACCCAAGCAGGAGTATTTACATTCTGAATTATGGTTTTGCCTTAAAAGTTGCACATTCAACAATTCTTTGAACCCAAATATAGAGAGCAGGGGACCTCCTCTAATGACACAAATAGAGAAAGCATTACCTTGCATTTGTGAGGACAATGACCCTATGAAAAAAGACCTTGCTACAGCACGCTCTTCTCTTAGACAAACATACTTCTAAAGGCCTGTGCTTACTCTGCTTTTTCTAAACAAGCAGACCTTTAATCCATTTCTCCTCTCCATGGGGGGGGGGAGGGCGTGTCTCAGGACCCCTGGGGCCACTTTAATGACAAGTGGATTAGAGCTGTTGTCTCAAAGGGAAGCCCTAACCTGCACACTCACACTTGGAGCCATGCTGGAAACCAGTCTAGAGCATGCTGGATCCCCTCCACGGGGCGCCCACCCAGGGATCATAAAGGAGTTGAGGGGCCTGTGGATTCTCCGAGACTGCATGTAAAACTGCCTAGGTGCCTCTGAGCAGTCAGCCCAAATCTCCTGGGGCCCTGGCCTGGGGTTTGTGTTTTCTTGAAAAGCTTCAAAGATTTCTGAGGGTTGCCAGGGCTCTGAACCTCTATGGCATGCAGTGGGAATAAGCTGTGGATCCTCCAATAGTGTATTTCCAGTAGGAAAGGACCATATGCTGCAAGAATAAAGAATTCAAGTACAGTTGTCCCCCTTTATCTGTAGTTTTGCTTTCTGTGGTTTTGTTACTTGCAGTCAGTTGTCCAAAATTATTAAATGGAAAAGTTCCAGAAATATACAACTCATAAGTTTAAATTGTGCACATTTCTGAGCAGCATAATGAAATATAGCATGATCATGCCATCATTCAGGGTATCCATGCTGTATATACTATCCGCCCAACACTGTCAGGCTTAGTGATCCAGGATCACTTGAAGCAGATAATCTTCCTCCTGATGTATTTTCAGAAGATCAAAAGTAGCCTAATGGGGTTGGGTTTGTGGCTCAGCGGTAGAGCGCCCATCTAGCACATGTGAGGACCTGGGTTTGATCCTCAGCACCACATAAAAATAAATAAATAAAATAAATGCATTGTGTCCAACTACAACTAAAAAAATAAATATTAAAAAAACAGCCTAATGTAAAGTCACAACCTCTCTACCATTCACCTCACTTTATCTAAAGTACTATATCATCTGACATCACTACAAGAAGGGTGAGAACAGCATAGTAGGCTACATTCACATATTTTTTGACAATATATTGCTGTAACTGTTCTATTTGATATTTAGTTATCAATCTTCCACTATACCTAATTGATAATTGAATTTTATTATGGGTATGAATATATAGGATAAGACAGAAGTGCAGAACCCTCATGATACTGCCTCCCTGGCCTCCCCTAGGGGTGTGGGACGTGTTCCTAGAGGATAAGCAGGGAAAGATAGTACATCACAAATACTGTCCAACACAGGAAGACTGAGCAGCGCAGGTGGCGGGCTGTCTCAGGTGGGATGAGGAGGGCAGTAAGGAACACGTAGCTGTGGACAAAGAACATGGAGCAGTTCTACCTATTTCTGGGCAGGGGGAGTGGGAGCAGGGGGACAAAGCTTGAGGCAGGTCAGGCTGGACACACACAGCTGGTTCATTTAGGTTTTCTCTGATAGCACCATGGGTGCACTATGGGATGGGATGGTTTGCAGCATCCCTGGTCTCTATCCATTAGATGCCAGTAGCAACTTCCCTCTGCCCCTCAGCTGTGGCAACCAGGAGTGTCCCCAGGAGTGGCTCTATGTCCCTAGTGGGCAGGCCTGCCCCAGCTGAGAATCACCGATTTCATTGAGAACACTGATCTCTTCTGATGAACAATAACACCTGGCTTCCGAGAAGCCCCCTTCACCGCTTTAGGAGGGGCTCATGCCAGAAACCAGGTTGGGCTGGTCACCACTGACCAACAGGCACCCCAGGGCCTCTGGGGAATGCCAGCCCTGGCTGCAGAGCAGGATTGCTTCCCAAGCAAGGGGGTGGCCAGGGAGCAGGTTCTGCCTGTTTTTCAGACTAGACACAGGAGGCTCAAGAATGTGGTCACTTGTGGTCATACAGGGAGCATAGTCCAGCATGCCCACGTTCGTCCAGTGTACCTCCTAAGCACACACCAGCTTGGGAGTCAAAGAAGCAACATTTTGGGAAAAAGGAACAGAACTGATTTGCATCTGCCTTCACCTTCTGCCCGGACCAGCACACACCCAACCTGGGCCCACAGATGTGCTGCTCCTGGGACTGCAAGACAAGAGCCCTGGGAGCTGCAGGGTGGGAGCCCCAGGCACGCCAGCCTTCTCCTGCATCTGGCAAGAAAGTCCCTCTTCCCTCCCCCATGCCGGCTAGGGCTTGCCCCACCTCATGAGGGGCCAGAGGCCTCCTGCACTTGGGCTCAGGAGGGCTTCCTCTGGGAGCCCGTTCCTCGCTTGTGCCTCTTGTTACTAAGAGAAAGTAACTGGGTTGCAGAGGGCTGTGTGTCCTGGGACAATTGCAGCTAGAATGAGCTCTCTCCCTAGGGAACTGGCACTTGTTCCCCTGGGGAAGGGGCTGGTTTTAAGTAAAGCTCCCAAAAGAGAAAAACGAAAAGGAAGAAAAGGAAAATGGACGGGTCAGGAAGGGCGAGAGAGCAAGAAGGAGAGGCTCAAAGAATCAGCAACGCCACTGAACACACACTGTCTCCAGAGACATCCAGGCTGCAGTGACTCCGACGCCCCGGGCAGCATCCTGCCAGGGAATGGCACTGCATGACCTGGGGCCTCATTTAAGTCTCTTC